AAAAAAAAAAAGGAATCGCTTGACCAAAGAACATATGAATTTATAATCACGATAAATATTGTCAGATCGGCCTTATTATGAACGTACCCCCAGCATAAAGTATGGGAGCGTCTCTCTCCTGCAGCTCGGCCACAGAATGTTTGGGAACATCTCTTCTTTGCCCCATAAGCTTTCTGGTTTCCTGCAGACCTAATACAAACAATGGTGTCCAGCGGAGGCTTTGGTTTCTTCTTTTGGCAGGCAACACAGCATTTTTTTGTATTTGATATAATTTTGTGTTTATCTTATGAGTGGAATGGAATATATTTCAGCATTCACTTATGCATATTCTTCCTTTACTGTGAATGACTCGATTCTTTGCCCATTGTTCTATTGTCATTTTATATATTTCATGTATTAGGGCCACCAACCTTTTCTGATATGGATTTTGAATAATTTTTCAAGTTTTATCATTTATCATGTTGGCTTTGCCTATGTTATTTCTTGGTATGCAGAAATATATTTTTGTGCTGTGGAGCTTTATTAATCTACAGATTCTGGGTTCCCTGTCACGGTAACAAAGATCTTCCCCAAGTTGGACGGAAAAGTCTTTCCTATCTTTTCCTTTATGCTTCATGGCTTAATTTTTTTCATCTTTAATTCTAATACATTTGGAATTTATCCTAGGGAATCACATCCAACTTTTTACTTATTTATTTATTTTTGAGACAGAGCCTTAAGCTGTCACCTTGGGTAGAGAGCTGTGGCATCACAGCTCCCAGCAACCTCCCACTCCTAGGCTTAAGCAATTCTCTTGCCTCAGCCTCCCAAGTAGCTGGGACTACAGGTGCCCACCACAATGCCCAGCTATTTTTTTGGTTGTAGTTGCCATCGTTGTTTGGCAGGCCTGGGCTGGACTCGAACTTATCAGCTCTGGTGTATGTGGCTGGCGCCTTAGCTGCTTGAGCTACAGGCACCGAGCCCCAACTTTATTTTTTAACTAAAAGGTAATACATAACTTGTACATTTTGCTCCCTATATTTTTATTTATTTGTAAAAAGCCTGTGGCTCAAGGAGTAGGGCACTGGCCCCATATGCCAGCGGTGGTGGGTTCAAGCCTAGCCCCAGCCAAAAACTGCAAAAAATAAAAAAACTTAATTCCCTTTCCCTTCCCAATCCCATAGTGGGATTAGGTTTATGATCTAGCTCTATATAGGTAGTAGTGTTTACCCTTCCACAGAGGTGGTAATCCCTTGACACAATATACACAGGTTTATGGTATATCCCTCTAGTCATTTCTTTGTGTCTTTACTAATACTATCCAAAATGGTTTTGAATCTTTTTGGTTTTTATTTTTTAAAAATAACTGTATTTGGGCTCGGCACCCATAGCACAGTGGTTATGGTGCCAGCCACATGCACTAAGGCTGGCAGGTTCTACCCCGGCCAGGGCCTGCTAAACAACAATGACAACTACGGCCAAAAAGCAGCCAAGTGTTGTGGCAGGCACCTATAGTTCCAGCTACTCGGGAGGCTAAGGCAAGAGAATTGCTTAAGCCCAAGAGTTTGAGGTTGCTGTGAGTTGTGATGCCACAGCACTCTAGTGAGGGTGACATACTGAAACTCTGTCTC